ATTTGCACACACATTAAGCGTAAAGAAAAGGCAGAATTTTTGTATTTCTTTCTTCGGTTTCTCTCAGATTTTTCTTTGTTGCATTTTTGATAATGTTTTTTTTTTCCGTAAATTGAGGTGTTTCTTTCGTTTTATAACATTGTTTTTAACTGTGCAATTACGATAATACTCAACAATATCTGCGTCGTTCACATTATTGTCTCTACGTGGGTGTCTCTACATTATTAAAATACACTCCCGCAAGGTAATGAGGAGATCTAAAAAGTACTACCGACGTGTTTTCCATTTTTAATAAGTCTAAAAAGAATAATTTATAATTAATTGAAAAGTACAACATGCACTTGTTATGTTTAAAATTAATATATTTGTTGACAATGTGACAATAATTTAATATTTTTTAAATGTCTTGTCTTGTGTAGAGTATCTTGTGCCCATTCTTAGTAGAAAATATGTATCAAAGTTTTTCTATTTTCTTTAGCTTTGATTAATTGTGTGATTTGTCAATATCAATCATCCCTTGATTACTCACATTATTAATTACCAGCCTTTAAAATGTCCCGACACCCGGGTCTCAGGCCTTCCATATGGATGAAATGGAATTGATTAGGAAGAATTGGCCCTGACCTACGATGCGGGCCCAGTGCGGATTGGGGGGTATATATCCGGGCCCAACGGCGTAACATACCTTCAGGAGGAATTCAGATAGAAAATTTTTGGTCACCCAAAAGTTGTTTACCAACCGTATCCCAAAATGAGCAGGTTAAGTAATGCGCCATCGAGCTCAATTACTTAAGAAAACAATTTTTATTTAATTATGCAAATATGGGTGTCAAATCAAAAGTCTTGATAAGCACATGAAATATATATTGTATAAGTGCTTACTGAAAGGAATAAAATAAAAGTAACTAATTTTAAAATACGAATCTTTATTACATAAAGTAGGAATATTACTTTTATAGTTAATTTACAAAAATAGATAACAACTTAAATTAGGCCACTTTCGACAACAAATAACACAACTGCAATCATCGAACTAAAAATAGAGTTGTTATGATAAATGGAACAACTTTTAAACGGTTTCATTGCGTTTGTATTTAATTTTAGACGTTTCGGACTCTAAAGGTTCCGTATTCACATGAAACTAAGGTGTTGATTGCCTTTTTCTAATTAAAAGTATAGCTATAGCTACCTTCAAAAATCAACACTATTGGACACATTCACAATACATCATTTTTTATTATTAACATTTGAAAAATTAAATTGAAGCATTTTTAAAATACATTTGACTTATTTATTTACCCCTAGCTACCATAATCTACCACCAGTTCCAACTTTGGGAATGTTGTGTGAGAAGAACTGTCGAAACAAACTTCGTCAAGAAAAAGTGAATTGCTCCCTTTAATTTAATATTTACAGAACGTATTAACTGCATAATTTGGTTTTGCAGTGTGTGATGTGGATTGAGGTTCCTATGGATAGTGTAAATACAAGAAAACAATAAATTGTATTATTGCTTGGCTAAGCAATGTTCTTGTTGCAGTCGGGAGACCGTAACTAAGCACTTAAAAAAGATGTAACTTAAGAGGTCACCCGACTTCAACAAGAACATTGCTTAGCCAAATCACAATAAAACTACTTAATGAAAAATATTTTTCAGTATAGCATTGTGAATGAGAAATCGATAGGATATAATAATTAGAACAAAATTTTATAAAATATTTATATTTCTTTCGGTTGTTAAGGTGCCTGAACATTGATGAGAATACGCTCTGTAGTAGCGAAAAAGTAAAAAGTGCATGAAAGATTCGTCAGTCTTGTTAGGTTCTAGGTAGCTCAGTGGTTAGAGCAGTCGCCCGGATTGCGAAAGGTCATGGGTTCGAACCCCATCTCAGGGTGCCAAGGACCTAGTGGATTTTTTAAGCATTTTTCACTAAAAATATTTTTCAGTATAGCATTGTCAATGCTAAATTGATCATATATCATAATAAAACCTATTTTAATTTTTAGTTTTATGATGACAATCGTATTTTTTAAATTTATTTATTTTTACTTTATTCCTTTTATTACAGTGTATACAAAATACATATTTTTGTTATTTATTTATCAAGACCTTTAATTTGACCCTCATATTTTCGGTATGACATCATATTGAATATTTAAAAAGTATAGGCAATGTCATTCGGAATGGTGTAAAGTTTCTAATGAAGTGATGTCATGATATTTCTACACATAATTAATCGTAAAGTCTTTGAAAGATTACGGTGTGATTAAGAAACTCACTTAACCCTAAACACAATACACTTTTTTGTGCAGTTGTGTGAAAATCACAATAAACGTCAAGATGAGCCAGGCTGCCGTAGTTATCTCACTTCATTTGTGTTAATCTCGGCACTTGCTTGTTTGTAGCTAGAGCTTGCCAAATTATGTTGTACAAAATGTTCCTGTTACCCACCCTCGATTTATTTTCTTTGTTATCTGAATGTCTCTCTTTTATTCTTTTTTTTTTCAACTATAACACAAATTCAAGCTTTGTACTCTTTTTGTGGTAGAATTTATCTAGATTAGACATCAGGAACGTCTACGCAAACTGATTTATTCACAAATAATCTTTGGAGGCAGGTTAATAATTTTAATTGTCACGGTAAATTATATATTGATATAAAATTGTTTAAATTGATGAAGTTGGAGATAATACATTATGAATGATCACGATAAGATTACTTTTAAAAGTATTGTAAGTTGATGTAAATAATAATATTATTAAATATAAGACAACACCATATACATTTCTCAGATCCTAATCTCGACATTACATAAAATTTCATTACCAACAAACCCAACCTTTTTTCTTTTGCTGTTATCTGTTACTTGAAATATTTATACAGTACCATCATTAACTATAACTGTAATTAGAACTTGAAAATTATAAATAAACGTAATAATTTAGTACTTCAAAAAAGGAGAGTTTCTCAATTCGACCGTATGTATGGTCTTTTTATAATTTGTTCGCATATAACTTCGTCGTTAATTAACCAATTTTTATGGTATATTTTTTATTAGACAGCTTTTAGGCTAGATGTGGTCCCACATAAATTTTATCGAAACAGAATTGGTAGTTTTGTTTTCATAACAAAACAAAATATGCCTGTCACCAAATATCACAAAAATATTTAGACATTTTTATATCAGACTACAGACAGACGACAAAATAAACCACTGAAAATCATAAAAAAGAACCATCTTCTAACTTTAAATGTGACAAATAATAATAATACGTTGTTTCTTGAAAAATTAAGTCGGTTTTAAGACAAGTATTAATTTTCACTTCAGTCAGGTCTATTTTTTTATTAACAAAAATTTTTTTTTTCCTTCCTTCCACTTTTGGGAGGTTGGACAGCATCATAGAAGCTGTTGCTCGGAACAGGGATGTAGCACTCTGTCAAATGCATTGCCTGTGATTCCTTTCATATAGATGCAATTGCATAGAGAGAACGGGTCATCAACACATGATTGCTGGCCCAATATCGATCGGTAGATGTCAGGGTGCAGCAGCTACGTGCGTTTCAAAAAGAGGAGCTCAACATAATTAATTTACGGTAATCCGTCGTAAAACTGGTTCTTGCAAAAATAAGTTAACCTTTGCATTGTAGAGTAAACGCACTAACCACTGACTTCCATTCTGGATCGTCTATACATAGTACGAGTATAATACAAAGTTGCTTCTCGCTGGTCTGTACGTTGAGATCTTTTTAACTACACAACGAATTTTATTTTGTTTTCAATATAGGTATAGTGATTCATAAGGAAGTTTCATATAGTCAAAGTCAAAGTCAAAATAATCTTTATTCAAATAGACTTCTTAAAAATACTTTTGAATCATCCAACATTTTTTTCCCTACCACTCGTTCAGGACGTCTTTTGGCTGATAAGAAGAACGAGCAAGAAACTCACCAGCTCTAATAAGAGTAATGACATTTACAAAAACCATGTCATTACCAGATCAAAACATTATAAACAGAGATAGAGAAAAAAACTATGGTCTTATATGACAAATAATGATATATATATATATACAGTGTCTCACGGATGAAGCCGCTGGCAGAATGCTAGTATTACAATAAAATATAATTTATGCAATAATTTTACTCACTATTTGTTTGAATGATACGACAGCTCTAATTTATTATTGTCATAAAGTTCGCAATTCTAATTAGTCGATACATTAAATTTGAATCAGGGGTGTTACGGTCTGACGAATATTAGCCTAGTTTAATATTAATTCATTTCATTATTCCATTGGGGCTCGTATAATCGTTGTAACTTAAACCAAATAACGATTTATTGTATGAATTTATGCAAATTTACTATGAAATATGTAATTATGGCTCACGGGCGATTTTTGAATTGCGAAAATTCATCATCATCATCATCAGCCCTTTTACGTCCCCACTGCAGGGGCTCAGGCTTTTATTATGGATGTAAACATCCATAATAAAGAGGATGGGCCATGACCCTCCACGCTGGCCCAATGTGGATTGGAGGGTATTAACGACTGCAAATGCAGCCGGGTCCAACGGTTTAACGTGTCTTCCGAAGCACGAAGTTGCTCGAGATAATAATTATTTGATCACCCATCCCGTGACCGACTCTTGCGAAAGTCGGTTAACAACAATGATCGCAGGCCGCGGTGCTTATCCTCTACGCCACGGAGCTACAGTGAAAATTACAAAATCTCGACCGATTATTCTCAATAACTTAAGTTTTTTACGTTTCACTTGCCAAAAGTCTTATCAATCTGCCATCAAGAGACCATTCAATAAATCCAGATCATCGGGTTCGATTCCCATCTCAGGGTGCCAGGGACCAAGTGGATTTTTAAGCATTTTGTATTAAGATATATGTTTTATTAAACATTTTAATCTTTGCAATCAGACGGATTTTTTTACAATTATTATATTTTACAAGAAATAAGTTTTAATTCGCCAATATATTTGTTTCAGAGTAAAACACTAGATTTAGCGCTAGTGTCTATATACAGAGGGGGAGTAGAATTAGCATCAGTCAGCCAGTATGCAGGCTCACCGTATAACACAACAGACAGGTAATGACATATAAATAAGTCTTATATTACACTATTGTTTTCCCCCGCCTTCCGTCTAAATTATAACCTATGGGTTTGAGTCAAATTAGATGTAACTACATTTATCATTTGATTCTTCAAGGACAAAGGTGTGTTCACATAGTTGCTGTTTTGCTATGAATAAAAACAGCATAAATCCAGGCGGACAATGATGTATTTATAAGTATTAAGTTGTATTATTCTAGGAAAACATAAAATAAAAGTAGTTAGAAAACATTTTACTCATGAATCACATAACTTTAGGTCTTTATTGTTAACAATATACAATTTACAGATACAAAGTTAGAGTACACCTAATTATTGCTTACATTTACTGTATGAGGATATTTGTAATATACTCATACAATACATGACATGAATTATAATATATATTTCTGTTCCTTTCTTAGCTTAACTGGCAGAGACTGGCTTGAGACGAACTTCATTTGTGTGTGAACTACAAAAAAAAAATCTGATGACCAATTTTCAAATGTAAATGCATCTGATATTGTGAACTCTGGGCTCCTTCCATGGTTCTTACATATTCCAATGAACTTAATAGTAAAATCCAGCCCAAACCTGATAGAGATACAAAACACAATTCTTTTAAAAAGCACCTATCCACCACCAGCCCTTTTACGTCCCCACTGCAGGGGCTCAGGCCTTCCTTATGGATGGTTAAGGAGGATGGGCCATGACCCTCCACGCTGGTCCAATGCGGATTGGAGGGTAAAAAGCACCTAAAACTAAATAATTACACATACATACTTTACAGCACATTTACATTAAGAAACAGTCATGTGAGAAATAATGCCAGTGTACACGAACCTTACTCTACAAATTCTTTCGATAATTTCTCACAGGCATGCCAATATATATGTTTTAGTGTCACTGATAAATTTTCATAGGTTTTAACTTAAAATAATATTAGTGGAAACACATCACTGGTTGTATTAGCATCACGTTTAATTAGTAAAATATTTTACAATATTACTGAACATAAATATTACTTACCTTACCCAAGTAAGTTATATTGTAATATTACCTTCATTAATATACACGAAGATTAACATTCAAACTTGTTGTAAATTTTTGCGCAAAGATAATGGAGCCTTTTTGTTTTGAAATAATGATATTTAATGTTGCACTCTTAAAACACCCGATGCTTCTCGTAGGTGAAAGGATTTTTAAAACCAGTCCAGTAGCTCCAGTTTTTTCGATGCAAATAAACAATCAAATCTTTCTTGCTTAAAATATTATTATTGGAAAAGATGAACATCTTCTGTACTTATTTATTCTCTCGCAGTTTATTTTTCGAATGTATCTTAGCTACAATTATCTCCAACCTATTTTATATGGGACGGCAGTGCTATTACCGAAAACATCTCTGTGTGGCAGCAAACGGTACTATGTAAATGTTTTGTGATATTTATTGTTTGTCATTAATTCTTAATGTTTTATTACTTGTATACTCGTATAGACTATTTTTATTAATTATCCGTTGAGAGAATTTGATAGGAAGCGACAATTATTTTTGTAACGTATTTTTTGCTCCTGTTATCCGATAGACATTATTCAATAATGCTTTGTCTGTTCGATTTGCAATGGCGTGGTGATAATTATATACCGACGTTTATATATTGATGCTATACTGTGCCAATTATGTTTTAGGTAGTCGTGAAAATTGTATTTTAAAAACACCACCATATTTTAGTTTGTAAAATAATTAAATGCGAGTGTATGTCTGATATTTTTCAAGTTTTCTATAGTTTAGTTTAAGTTAGATCTGAAAAGAACATACCTTCTAAAAAATTGGTGTAATCCATTTAATTTTTCAGTGCCATATTCAAATAATCATTTTATTAGTATTCCAAAGTATTTTTTTCTTACGCTAATTAAAAAACAGTTTCGCTTAAATCATAATCGAGATTCAATATTTAACTAAATAATTTCCTTCTAAAACTATTTCGGAAGCGTGAATCGACGGTATGTTACGGTTGCCAAACGGTTTGGCAGCGGCCCGTAATACGGTACCCGCTGGGCCACAAGTGGGCTTCATTTTCATAGGTTTTGCGTAACTGCTGCCGCTAACGATCCGTTTCGAATACATTGTCCGACCATTTTTGATGAAATGCGTGTTGGTTTGACTAAACGTTTGTATAAACTATAATCCATTTTTAAATTCTTTTTGATATACTTACTTGTTTAGTAATTTTGGTAAATGTCATGGGTTTCTAAAGACACTGGTTTCTAAAATATAGGCAAAACTAGCTTAGAAGTCAGGGCCACAATATATATCTAACTAGTTTATGTACAAACTTAAGAAATTATTATTATATCCAGTTAGAAAGATCGAATCAGTCCAGAAGATATAAAAGCTGAAATAGCTATTATAGATCTGGCGGTGAATCACAATCATTTCTTTTAAATTTCTTTTAGGTTTAGCACCTCAATATGGACCTGCATTTTTATGTACATTTTAAACAATAATTTTATAATGAAATTTAAAATTAAATTCTTTTGTATTCTATTTCCTTTCCAACAGTATTCGGTTGCCATTTTAGAAGTGTAAAAAAAAGGGTGAATTATATATGTATCAGTTGTCTTAGTCCCTACAAGATTATAATTCTTAAAGTTGCAGTTTTAGTGTGGGTCAAATATTGAAAGCTGAATCTGACCCATATCATAATGAGATAAAGACATAATCGGAATCAAACTTAGAATCCACCTTAAATAATCTTGGAAATGCAATAATATTAATCAAAGAATTAGTTTAGCTACTCAAAGAGGAAACGCTCGCAGCCTTCTGGGTACCTTACCTGTAGGCAATGATCTGGGAGACATTTTTATTTAGTATAGCTATTATTTTAAGACATAGTTTAGATTAGTAGTTTTAATTTATAAGACCTTTTATTCAAACATTGTTAATAAAGTTTTAATCAGTATTGTCGTTAATCCAAAATGGCCCTCGCATCAAAATGTGAAATTACATATTTTTCTACATTTTAGTATTAAATGAAATGAGAAAAATCTGATTCAAGATAGCAGTCATTACCATCAATACGCTTTCACTATCTACTTTACTTTTTAATTCTGCCTTTATATCAAACTCTTACAATTCAAGCTAAGCGACTATAGTATAGCCTTCCTGATGCCATCAGCAAATCTGCCAACAAATTTATATTTACAAAGAAACTTGAAAAGTGTAACCTTTTTAAGAGTATTTAGATCATCATACAATCTAAATTACGTATATATGTATACGTATATACGTTTATGTTTATATGTATGTTTGAATGTATCAACTTGCTTTTAGTTTTAAGCATTTTCAATTGTTAGGTCACCTTATGCTTCCTTCATGTTTTTCTGTCTTCCCAAAGGTTGACTGGTAGAGAACGCTATTAGCTTTAGCCTGCCTTTTATACCATTTATTCGTTATACATTAAAGTTTGGTTAATAAATAAATCACAACATGTCGAATCATATATTTTTACACGCCACTTTGAATTGGCATAAGCTTGTTTTTTTATATGGTTTTTTTCATATTTGTAAGATGTATGGTTATTATTATACATTATCATACATGCATTTGAATATATTCTAATCAACACTTATTGTTTATATCGATTATCTGATTAATAATTATTTAGTGTATCCTTAAGCCGTGATGAAAAGATTTGACAATTTGCCATACTCTTTGGTAGCCAACTTAGCACTTCTAGATATGGCAATATTTTCATAAGGTAAACACCGAAATTAGATTTTTATAGCACATAGTTTTTAAATTTTATTTGCACCTAGCACCAAATCTTGTATCTTTGATTAATTTTCTGCTCATAGTTATATTTTATAGGTAAAGTCAAAGAAAATCTAATGCTCCCCAATTTAAAGATAGGTAAAACGTTTCAATAATTAAATACGCAGGATAATCATCATGATCTTTATAATCTAGGTTTCACTTCCTCGGGGCCGCCCACCAGAAAAACCTTCGCTCCAGTGGTAGTCTGATCCTTCAAACACATACTCACCATTCCAGCTACGTATCCAGCTCTTTTACTCTGACTGCCATCCGACTATGGAATGCATTGCCATTTGAAGTTCGTAATGCCCCAAACAAGCTCGCATTTAAGTCTGCAGCTCGTAACCACTATTTCCTGTCTACTTCCATTTCATAATCAGATACCACCATTTCAGTACTCGTTATATCTTATAATGTATATGTATATATAATGTATGTATATTAATATTATGTATATATGCGTATATATATTGTATGTATATATGCTAATGCTTATAGTTACGATTTTATGTACCGTTTTTAATCTTTACCGCCTATTACTGTTCTGTACAATCTAACTGGTTGACTGGGAGAGAATGCCTCTATGGCATTAAGTCCGCCATTTGTCCTTAGTTAGGCAATAAAGAATAAATAAATAAATAAATACATAAGAACATAATTTAAGCTCTATCCGTAGATAAATAATTTGCACATAAACCCCGCACTGTAATTATTACCGGCATATTCACTCGACTGGATCGACATACACGTAATACTCATAATGATTTAGGCGCAAGTTATTAATTTTACAAGTTCGGTTAATATCAAATTTACCCAAAACTAACTGTTAATTCGAGAATTCGGGTAAATTATAACCTACTAGCTGTGCTGCGTGGAATAGTGACATTCGGCAGCATCTTTAATTTTTAGGGTCCCGTTCCCTAAGGGTTTAACGACAAGCCTATTACTAAGACTTCGCTGTCAGTCTGTCTGTTGCTAGGCTGTATTTTATGGAACGTGGAAATTAGACAGTTGAACTTTCCACAGATGATGTATTTCTGTTGCCGCTTTATCAATAATAGAATAAAATAAATATTTAAGGGGTCTCCCATACAACAAACATGATTCTTTGTTGTTACCAGGTTATATCTCATGAACCGTGATAGTTAGACAGTTGAGATTTTCATAGTTGATGTAGTTCTGT